AAGCGAGGGGGGGGGGGGGCGGCTTTGTGTCCTTGCATAGGATCCTCTCAGAATCTGTAAAAGTGACCATTTAAACCTGATGTTCAGTGTAATCAAAGGGGGAATTATTAAAATCATTTTGTAATTGTATATTAAATCGCCAGAACACATCAGAAACGTAATTGGATTTGAATGGAAAGAAACGTCGTTTTTGTCCGTCTTGGGTTCACATAATTTTCCTGGCCTGTTTCTCTGGCCAGCTGTGGCTCAGCTGTAAAAAATGAGCTTTCACAGAGTCAGCGGGTGTTTATGTGTGTAGTTTATGCTAGAGCAAAGGTCCTTAATATGGGGTCGCACAGACCCCTTGGGAATCCCTGGATAAATTTCAGGGGGTCTGTGAACTCGGGTGGAAAAAACATTGCAACTTTACTTTTACTCTGTTATGTTATGCATTTAGTAGATTTTTTGGAAAAGAGGTTTGTAGACGTCACCAGATTCTCCATGGTGCGAAAAGACTGAGAATCCCTGTCCTAGAGGAAACTTAACAGTGCTGAGCGATTAAAAAAAAAATAGCTGGTCATTAGTAAGTTATACAGGAGGGGTTTTATGAAACTGTGAATGCCTTTGTCATTTATAAGTTATCTTTCTCTTCTGACTTCACTGGGTTTTTTTAAATAAGCAAACGAGTGTGGTACTGTATGATCGTCACTTAATATCACATTTGTCCCACAGTTTGAACAAGAACGTTCCTATATTTGTCTGCACGATGGCCTATCCCACGGTCCCCTGCCCTCTGCACATCTTTGAGCCCTGCTACCGATTGATGGTTCGGAGGTGCATGGAGACCGGCACCAAACAGTTTGGCATGTGTATTGGGGATCCCGTCAAAGGGTGAGTGAGCATGTGCTGAGCGTCAGAACTCAGAAACGCTGCGTGTTTCATGTTCAAGCTTCAACGAGAAGAAAATGGCATCCATATTTCTGGGGACAAAGCGATGTAGCATTCAAATTAAATAAAAGTAGTAGGGGAAGGGCCGGTACAATTATAAATGAAATTACAAACCAAAAAAATGGTTCACGTTTCTGGAAAGTCCCCGTTCCCCTTTTTTTCAAAGATGTTGACAGACAACTCATATCAATAATCCATTATTGGAAGTCAGGTGCAGATTTATTTATTTTTCTCCTCCTCCTCCTCCTCCCATATGGTCATCCATCTCAAACTCATATATTGAACAGCTCACACCTAACACAGCCATTCTGCATTTGTTAACATTTTAAGCCTAAGGCAGAGAGATGTATGGCTTAATATGAGGTAGAAATCCTGGATTAATCCCGTTTCTTTTCTTGGGCTATTCTGGCAAACAGGTTTGCAGATTATGGTTGTATCCTAGAGATAAGGAACGTTGAAGTCTTCACCGATGGGCGGTCTGTGGTGGATAGCGTTGGCAAGAGGCGGTTTAAGGTGATACAGCACAGCCAGTGTGACGGCTACAACACGGCGGATATTGAGTACATCGAAGACAAGATGGTAGGTGTTGACTCACGGCTACAAAGGTGAAAGGGGATAAGGTTGACTGTCTAGCACAGCTTCAGGAGGCACTCAAATGTGCACTCCCCAGAACCTGCCTTCATATGAAATCAGCTCTCTAATGCAGTGTTTCTCAACCTTGGCAACTTTAAGATGAGTGGACTTCAATTCCCATGGCTGGCTGGGGGATTTTTGGAGGTTAAGGCCACTCATCCTAAAATTTTCCAGGGTGAGGAACACCGCTCTGGTGGATAAAAAAAAA